TAGTAGTAGTAGTAGTAGTAGTAGTAGTAGTAGTAGTAGTAGTAGTAGTAGGGGCAGCGGCAGCGGCACGCGGCAGCGGCAGCAGCAGCAGCAGCAGGAGTAATAGTAGTAGCAGCGGTAGTATTGGTAGGTATAGTATAGCCGTTAAGCATGAATATTCAAAGGCAGCAATAGCAGAACAATAGAACAATCGACAGATGTTTTAAAACAGCACACCGGGCGAAAAGTTTTTTTGTTATTCCCACCCATTAATCTATACAGGGTGTGGTAATAAACTTGCAACAACATGTTATTGTTACCTTCCATTTTGCCAATTGGGATTGGACATGATTGGCATTGCAGTGCTGTTGCGCCGCTTTCATGCACGCAGTTGGAAGAATAGAATCTGTACACTTGCTTCCCCCCTCTTTGGCAATTCTGCAACAGGAAATTCTCAAGGATGGGGTTACTAGCAAAAAACTCCTCACAGTGGGAGGAACAAAAACAATCACATGAAACATGAACAAAACCACTCAAATTCGTTACATTTTGGTTCATCCAACTGTTTTGCAATGAGGTTCTCAGTCTAAAGAGAAGGGGGGTCAAAAACAGAAATGTGTTTGTTCTTCCATTCAGAATTACTGGCATGAACGAAAGCGCACGGCACGTTCGCCTTCGATCTGTTTGGTCTCAGCCTTGGAGAGGGTGGAATCCACCCGTTCCTGCGAAGCTCTTCGCACAGGACCAGTTCGCTCCCGTCTTCAAGGCGAAGCTCTGGAAGGTCAAAGCCGAAGGCCGGGCCGCCCCCGGGCGGAGGCGGAACGGAACCACACGGATCGGGTGGTCAAAGCACAGGAACGATGGATTCTAATGTCGGTGGATCTGGACGGGCCTTTCGACACTCACAAGTCCCTTCTCACCGCCTCCCTGGCAGTGTTGGCAGAGTGGGAGCTCCGAAAACTCTGAGATCCACAAATAAGAAGTGGCAATTCTTGTTTTCTTCAGTGCATTGGTTTTGTGTGTCTTTGAGATTGAGGAAAAGTTGGAACCCAAGACTGCTAAGAAGTCGAGGCAACCAGTGGATTGGTTGGAGGTATGCTTGAACGGGTGTTTTTTAAAGGTATATACAGAGCCCGCAAAGAAAGTTGGAGCAGCTCTCTCTATTTATAAAGTGCTATAACTACATAAATTAGTGTAGTGTGTAGTGTAGTAGTTAGTGTGGTGATGTTTGGGCTGCTGTTTCTAAATTTGGCTTGCTCTGAGCTTTCCAGGTTTACCCACTTGGACACCCTGCACCAGCAATATGACCTGAAACTATTGGATCTGGATATTGAAGAAGTAGCAAACCCTGATAGAATCTGCACCTGCTCTTGGTCGCTCTGGTCATTGGCAGAACAAATACCGGCCATTCAGACCACTCTTCGCCGCATCCAAAGGGGAGTCAGGTGAGTGGCTCTTCACGCGTGGAGCGCGTGCGCAGTAGCGCCGTCGCGTCGCCAGGAGATCGTAAGAAGGCGGAGGATTGGTTCGAGCGCGAGATGTGGATTGCCAAGAACGGTGTCTTGGCGACAGAGGCGTAGGCCACAGAAACCTGACTGACTTCATCGTTTTTTTTCGGTGGATTCTGGTTTTGTTTTTGCTGTTTCATCTGGTTTCTGTGATACATACAGTATGCAGGGGCTGCCAACTGCTATCCTTTGTAGGTGAAACGCGGCAATTTAATTTGGAACCTTAAAGAACGCTGAATTTGGAACCCTAGATTGAATAAAAACGGTCATGTTGGCTGTCGCTGGACTCGACTTTGCCCAGTTTGTTGCGATATGAATCGGTGACATTCATCCTGGTTCTAGCGCGCTGGAGCTCCTGAGGCTCCTTGGTGTACTGGAGCAAGAAGGAAGACCGTCGCTTGGCGCGTGTACCGTGTACTGGAGTTGCTGGCCAGGTCTGCAAAAAGACCTTGGTCGGGGAGTCACTGTTTGGCTCTTTTGGCCACAAGTTGTACTGATGAAGATTGGTGAAGGCTGAAGTTGATGTAGTTTGTGACTTGTTTTCCAGCTCAGTTGGCTTGCCAGTGCAAGAGTACAATTCTTGACCAACCGGGCTCTATAGAGCCAGGTCCATCCTGAGGGGCTCCAAGTGGACTGTCGATTAGGAAGAGATGGACATATGGCTGGTGCCTCATCAAAGCCAAAACACACCATGAAGACATGACTGACAGTTGGAATCAATCATTTTGGATGTCAGTTGGATCACAAATGACAGGCTTACCAGCCTTTCAACCTGAGCAATACCATTAGCTAGGCCCGAGAGCCCGAGGGCCCCAGTGGCGAGAGAGCTGTAGTAGTGGCTCAAAACACGGGCATCAAGTGTTCTTGTTGAAACCCATCATCACAGTGACCGTGCTCTCCATCTGTATACACTGGGCCACTGCTGTTGTGACAAGCTCTCTTCGTAAACTGCTTGGCACTTGGGCTGATCTCCACAAAAGCTCGCTTCAGAACCACCCTGTTGGATGGCTCTCCGTCCTGAATTTGGCGGCCCCAAGCTCGCCCAGGTGACTTAATATAAAGCACATGTGGTACATTGTACACCCAAGGAGAGTTGGTCTACTACACCGCGGACGACATTGCAAACGCGAAGTTCATCTTCTTGGAGAAGGACGACGCGACCCATCCGCACCTCGGCGTTCAGCGATAGGCCGACGAGTGCCGACCTATCGCCTGACCCGGGAGGAAGGAGCCCAAAAACAGGTGGAAAAGAGCTCACAGGTCTTTTGCAGACGCATGAAAGATAGGCCCAATGTGAAGATAGGCTCCAAATCCGGACCTCCATATACCTCCTTGACCTTGTTTAGGGTCGGACACTTGAACGTGTGAAAGCATCCACAGTGAGAAGCCCGAGTGCCCTGCACCCTGACTGCCCTGCGAGCTGCCAAAAGACTGATTTTCTCGGAGAAGCAGTTCCCATGGATTTCCTGATGCCCTGGACATTCCTTCCTTTCCTACTGCAAGCGCAGCCTAATGGCGCAGTTTGGACTCTGCTGTCCAGCAGTCCAAACCAACCAATGAGGACCACTCTTTGCAAAGAGAAAATGATCCTCATTGTGAGGATGCTCCTGTACCACTTGGAGCCCTTGAACACCACAATCCAAATTAGCTATCGAACTTCCTCCCAAAAAGGGCTGCAAGCTGCAGTCCCCCCGCATCGTCTGGTCGCTCATTTTGCACGGCAGCAGCACGGCCCTTTTGTGCAGCACGTTTGTGCCGGCCGCCGTGCCGTCCGTCTCGCCAGGTGGGCCTTTCAAGTGCAGCTGGCGCCCAACAGTGGTGTCGAGTTTGCTCCCGGAGAGTTCGCCGCCGAGTCCGAGGCCTTGCGCGACCGTACCTTGGACGGTCGACCGTTACCCGGGGGGCACCTCAAAGGGTGGAGAAAGGGTCCAGGGTGTGACTGCGGAAGGCGGGTCCAAGAGGAAGCGATTTGGCCTGAGCTGGCAACTGACTTGGAACTCTGAAACACGAAATTTGAAGGAAAAGAGGGGCAGAGAGATCGCGTAGATGCCTGATGGATCGCTAATTATTCTTGGGGCCTGATTGACATCCAGCCTTGTTGGAGAAATCGCAGGTCTCAGAAGCCCTAGTGGTGCCAACTGACCCATCCCTGGAGTGCTTCTGGAGGACCGGAGGAGTGTACATAACGAAAAGGCCGAGCAACATGCTCCGGCTCCCAGATTGGATGCTTGAAAGATCTCAAACATCCACAAACATCCACAAACTCTATATACTCCAAGGGCAGGTGCTGCTCCAAATTCCAAGAAGTGAATTCTACCATCCAAGCGTCCGAGTCCAGGTTGGATCTCGGAGATGACCAAGTTCAAGCACGGCTGAGGGGGGGTGGCAACCGCAGCTGCGCCCGTTCACACGGGTGCAGCTGGCACACGAGAGTCGAGAGGCGGTGGACATTTTGGAAGTTCGGAAGTCCAAGAGTCACTGAAATAGCTACTAGGGGCTCCTGGCATCGCTACTAGGAGCAAGGACGCTACTAGGGGCTCCTGGCCTTACTACTAGTAACAATGTTTGCTATTAGAAACAAGAATTTAATTAGATTGATTTGTCCTTCCCTGCACAACTGGTATGAAGTTTCCTCAGATAGCTGCTCCGATAGCTGCTGGACGCGTTGTTTTTCTTTTGCTGCGATGTTGGTAGATTCAGATCCATTTCCTTACTGGATTCAGGCATTCGAACAATCCGGAGGGAGCCTTAGGATGTCCTTAGGACGTCCTTGCACACTTGACGCGATAACCAAATATTGGTCTAGGATGGTCTATATATTCATCAGTATGTGGATGTTTAGGCTTCATGATGCGCTGAAGCAGGGCCATTGGGCGCCGGTTGTTTAGATCAGATTCCTCAAGGCCGAACCTCTTGGCGTTTGCTCGGCCAACGCTGTCAAACTGAAAAAATATCGAGCTGACTAGATCGAGGCTGGACCAGATGGTGGGTGCGAATCGTTTCACAATCGATGGCCAAGAAACACAAGAACAAGATCGGTCGCACTTCAAAGCACATGTTGATAGGAGTCTATCAAATATTATCAGACTATTAGATTTTCTGTTCAGTTTGGTAATCTTCACTTGACATTCCAACGTTTGACATCGTAGAGTCTCTTCTTGTGGGCGTGACGCACCGCTCCGAGCACAGGTTTGTATAGGAGTATAGGACTTTCCATTCTAGGGAACTTGGGAAGTTAAAGTTTAACCCAACTGTTTCCAATTGATCCCAACTTGGATTGAACCCCATCGCTCTTAGGTTGGAGGCCATCAACTGAAAGGGTGAGCCTCAAAACTTGATAGGTTGGAAGCATGATGAAGCTGCACCTTCTGCAGACATCCTTCACTAATTCCTCAGCACATCCGAAAGTGTTTTCTTGTTGCTGTTGTAAGCGACGCAGACTTGTTTTCTACAACTGGACACGTTGAAAGACCATTCATCTCGTGTGGCAAGAAATGAGGGTTTGGACAAGTCCAAAACTTGATGCCATGAAATATGATCCAAACCAGAAGTCATAGAAAGTTTCTCGCACCTCTTTATGCAATTTTTGACACCATACATCTGTGATGTATGGATTCAGTTAAAATTTGGTTGATGTGTTGGCAGATGATTTATAACCTCATCCCACAACACATCACTAACTTTGGTGCTCATCATTTGATAGCTTTGGGGGGGTCCAGCATGAACCACCACAGGTTCAGTGTTTTCCCGGAGTAGGACACGACCTGAGCTTGCATCTCTCAACGACGAGCCCGTGGCTCACAAAGCCGTTGAAACCACAGCAGCTGTTCAGCACCACTGCCACTGCCAAGTCGGAATCACGCGAATTGAAAGGGGGTTATTTCTGTGCGGTCCATTTGCGCCAGTCGAGTCGTTTCTGACACATTGGATCGTCATTGGATCGGTGTTCGGACCAATTTGGACAGGCACTTGTCGTCAACCGACGATGCAAGCTCAGACACATAAAGGGGCAAGATGCCCTTTATCTTCTGGCACCTTCGCACAATCCGCCCGGTGTTGTACAAGAGATGCGCAGCTTGGTGCTCGACGTCGAAGACTGGTGGCTTTCAAGCAAGATCATCCAAGTAATTGGAGGGGTACTGTATGTGTATCGGTATGGCCTTGTTTGATTAATGACCACGTAAGAATAGATTACTGTAGACAAAGTCTTTGGCAAGGAATCCAGTAACCCCGATGCAAACGTCTCAACGCCAAGATGAGGGAATGCCAACGACAGAGAGGCCCATGATCAACAAAGGTCCACTTCAAATCATGCTTCGTCCTTAGCTTGCTTCGTTCTTAGCGCTCTCTCTCTCTCTCTCTATCGCTTTGTTTGTTTGTTTGTTTGTCTTTTTGGGTTCGGATATGGATTCTGTCAGCCGCGTGGTTTCACCTCTCCGGCCCATCGCCGGTACTCGACCTATTCCCCCGTACGTTGGTCGCTACATCACCGAGAGAGGCGATCTTCACCGGAATCGGAGTCGGAGCACTGGGCGGATGACGGTGGAAGCGTTTGGTCTCACCGGCCACTTCGCAGGAAGGGCAATCGTTGATCGCTCAGACCGTTTGCCACGCGCCGCTTCACGGACACGCCCAGCATCCAGAGTGATGGAATGCAGGAAGTGAATGACTCTTGTGCCTGGTGGACCTAAAGATCAAAGAGCTTGCAAAGTGTTGATGTTTCTTCAAAATCATCCAACAAACTACTTTCCCTGCCTGGCATAGTTCTGTTTTTTTGGGGAATTGTGGTACCAGTGAGTCTGGTTGGCACACCACGAATATAGATGCAAGAATTCCGGGGGGGGGCCTGCCATTCCAGTCCTGGCCACCGAGTCATGATCACAGAGGTGTGGTCACTGAATCAGCCAAGCACGCGTGTTGAAAGCAGGAAGAAACCCCTGCGTGGTTGGGACTTTGCGAAAGCAACAGTAGAGATGAGGGGGGCTACTGGCACAAACACGTACACTGCTACTGCTACTGATTGACACTGCTTCTTGAACCACCGGTGCCTATGATGAAATAAGACGGACATCAACATAGCAGATTTCTTCCGTACTTGGTGGATTTCGGCTCATGGAACGAAACCCCCAACCAGCATCGAAGGTCGACTTTGGACACTGAGATGGAACCAGCCCCTGTTCGCTCGTGTTCAAACAGGAAAATGCCCGCACTCGAGTTGGTCTTTGGTCAAACGGTGCACGGCTGTCTCGAACCGCGACAGAGATAGAAACAATACTACAGAGGTTTAGTACAAATAATACAGTGTATAGCATCTATATGATTACATATATTTACATATATTCACATCATTAAGTGCAGCATCATTGGACTTTCACGTCTTCGGATGATCCTGGGCGCCGTATCAAGGGGATCTCCCAGATGGGGTGATCCTTCGGACCCGTCAAGCGATGCCCATTTTGCAAGATCTTTTCCCGACACAGTGAGAGCAGGTCAGAGCAGGTCAGAGCGTGGACCAGTCAAGCGTTTGGAGATCGAACGGACGGACGAACGGTAGGTAGACACGAACGGATCAAGACTTGAAGTGTCTAAATATGTGGGTGCCTTTTTTAAAGAAGTCCATCAAGACACATGATGTGCCCAAAAATACACAAAAAAGTGTCTGTAATTAGATGATTTCGGCCAAAGCTTCATGCTTGCTATAGGCAGTGGATTTCTATTGTATCAGCACGGATTGTATATCCATATCGCAAGCTACCTCCGACTCTGCGGTACACTAGAACAGGTTATCGTCTTATGAGGAGGCCATAGCCTCATCCACCGGCTTTGAATCGACTATTTTGCTCGGGGCCTGCACGGCCACGGCTGGGCCAGAGGAATGCTCGGTGGCCCAGCGATGGAGGTCGGCTGCTCTCACGACCGGAGTTGTGACCCGGAGTCCTGCTTTCATTTCTGCTGTTGTCTGAGTGAGAAAGTGCCTTGACTCCCGCGCGTTGGCGCGGGGTTCCCGTGGCGCGTGACGCGTGGCGGGGGGGGGTCTTTGCAGCGAGAACGGAGACGGAGAACAACCGGTGGAGAACCAGCACGAAGAGAGGTAGGAACTTTGTAGAGAATTGGGGATAGGGGGCAATAGTATTTTGTCCTGTCAAACATGGTTTCTTCTCGAGCGGAAATAGACTATAGATATAGAAAGCAATCACACCATTATGTAAATGCAAACACCCTCAAGAGCCTCGAAAACGCCTGGCCTTTCCAAAGCTATGCAGCTACGCTTGGTTCATGTTGGGTTCTTTGGAGAAAGGGTTAGACGTTCCTGGCGCAAACACGAGCCTGGCACGAGCCTGGCGAGTCTTTCTCAGCTTTGGGGGGTCGATGTTCAGTCGATGGTCGAAGCAGTGAATGGTGAGGCCTCCTTCCCAGAGAAGCACGAAGGACACGTGAATGTATGAAGGACAGATTCTGGGATCGTCTTGGCAAGATGCTTTTTGATCATTTCTGGAATCTACTGGGGTGCGGAATCTACTACTACGGTGTGCATATGAAAATTGATATTACTCTTTAGTTCAACTCATTCAGCCACCGTCCCAAAAGAACATAAGACCACCTATCCCCGCGGGGCCGAAACTCAGCCCAGGTCGGAGACCCTCCTTGGGCGTGTGGACCTCGGTGTGTTCGTCGGTGGCCGGAACCGGGACATGTCCTTCTCACCCGAACCGTGGCGGTGCGGGTCGGATCGGTGCGGAAGAAGGACCGCCACGGAGAGAGAAGTAGATCAGATCGAATTATGGGGAGATCAGCAGATATCAGCATATATCATCATATATCCATGCAGGTGTCTAGCTGCCAGGTTTGACTTTGGGTCGAAGAAGAACATGAAGCGTTTCTGAACTCGGTTGAAGCGAATGACGCGTGAGAAAACCGTCGGTAGTACAGGCCGTGTTGCTTCAAAACATATCCCACACTACTTGAAGTCATGGGTTCCAAATGTGCGTCCCTTTTGTCCCTT